ATAAGGTTGTAATCTGATGTCATTTAGGCAAGAGTTAGCCCACTAAACAGCAAAAGGTATAAGAAACTTTTGTTCAGTGTCAAAAAGAAAAGTAGGTCTATATGATCAGAGTTCAGAGCAAAGAAGCTGGGCAAAAGAATGAAAATTAGATTTTCCATATAATGTAGAACATTTTTTTATATTAAATTCAGGATTTTGTGATAAGAAAATATGGATACATCACCAAGGATGCCACTTGGATAGTCAATAATGAAGTTTTTTAAATTAGATATCATCAAGGAAACTTTAAAGATTTTCACTTTATTCTTATTTCCATTAATCTGACTATGAGATGCCTAGGTGTTATTTTGTGTTTTTTTTCTGCTTAGGGATTTTCTAAGCCTCTTTGTTTTGTAGACTGATGTCTTTCATCAGTTTTGGAAAAATGCTTAGTCATTATTTATTCAAAAACATTTTTGTGTGTGGGTACCATCATCTCTCCCTTGTCCTGATAGGACTCCAATTACATGTGTGTTAGATTGCTTATTATTATTCCACAGGTACTTCAGTCTCTGACCTGTTTTTCATTTTCATTCTTTTTGCTTTTGCACTTTGGTTTCTATTGATTTACGTTAGGGTTCACCTATCTTTTCTTTGTTGTGCTCATTTATGCTGTTAAGACAATTTAATGATTTTTATCTTTTCAAACGTTTTATATATCTGTTCTAAAGCAGCTCAAAGTTCTCTCCTGAAATATTCCAAACTTTTACTGATTACTTCCATCTTTTCTTCTAATTTTTTATCCTAATTATAATGATTATTTAAAGTCTGTGCCAGACATGGTGGCACACGCTGTAATCCCAGCAGCTCGGGAGGCTGAGACAGGAGAATCTCGAGTTCAAAGCCAGCTTCAGCAACTGCGAGACACCAAGCAACTCAGTGAGACCCTGTCTCTAAATAAAATACAAAATAGGGTAGGGGATATGGCTTAGTGGTCTAGTACCCCTGAGTTCAATCCCTGGTACCCCTCCAAAAAAGTTTTTGTTAATTCCTGTGTCATCTATAGGTCAGTTTCTATTGACTGGTTTTCTTTTATCTGTGTTTCACATTTTCCTGCTGCCAGAGATGGCTCATAGTTGCCTATGGTATACACATTGTGTATATATAAATTATAGAGATTGAGATAGAAAATATTGATTCTGTATCAGGAACTTAATGTCTTTGTTTAAATCAGGAATTGAGCTAAATTGGGTTTGGATGGCAGCTTTAGTTAGTTTGAATATATTACTGGCTTCAAAGCTTTATGTTGTAAAAGGTCCCTCCTTCTTCTGGGCTTGATATTCAAGCACCATTTATTGAGATTGTGCTCCGCTTTCCAGCATTGCCCAAAGATTTTTGGGACAGTGGAAATCTTACTTTGCCTCTTACCTAGAACCAATTGGCCACGTGCTGCTGGGCACTTGGTAAATATCCTAAGGTTGAGAATTGGTAGTGAGAACTCACTGTGTTTGGGGCTCATAACTGTTCAGTATTCCACAACAGCCTTAGTGTATTCAAAGTTCAGCCAGTGTTTCCTTTCTTTTACAAAGTCCTTTATGCAATGATAGGTCTACTTCTTTCTTGTTCCTAGTACTTTGCTATCATGACTGTTATTGAACATATATTTTAATGATTTTGAAATTCCTGGGGTGCCTTAATAATTTAGAAAGACTTGCATCCCCCTAGCCCGTGTCTCATTTCCTCAGCTCTCAATGAGCTCAAAAAGATACATATTACATATTAACTGGTTTTTTTTTTTTCTTGTTAGGATGAGATGGTTGGACATTTGCAACCATCTCCATTAAGCAGAAACAGAATCTTGAAGATCCTCTCTATCTTTTTTTTTTTTTTTTGGTATTGGGGATTGAACTGAGGGGCACTTAATCACTGTTCCACATCTCCAGCCATTTTTTTGTATTTTATTTAGAGGTTGGGTCTCAGTGAGTTTCTTAAGACCTTCTGTTTTTGAAATCATTTTATCAACATTTTTTTCCTGATTACAAGAATTATAGTCATTATAGAAAATTCAGAAAGTAAAAAAACATGGATAATACATTGTGAGTATGCATTTTTATCATTTTGAGTCATTTGTCATGAACTCCGTGGATTGCTTTAATTTCAAAGTATTTGGTGTCCAAGCGAAAAAAAATATTGCTTTCTTTCCTCATCCCCCATTCAGCATTTGGTCTTTAAAATTCTTACTTGCTTCTTGGATTCTACTTATTATGCACTCATCTTTCACATGTACCTTCTTTGATGCAGAAGATCACCATAAAGTTATGTAGTGAACTTGAGCTCTATAGTATCTCTTTCTTTCAAAATAGTGGCATTTTACAGTATTTGGAAAATAAAGGTGCTTTGAGAATATGATGCCCTCCATTAGCAGGGTCTCTGTGATGAGATGGCATGGGCAGTTGACATTGGGGGAGACCCATGCATTTATATCTTAATTTTTAGCTTTTAGTTACAAACTTACTGAAAAATACTCAGGGATATGTCCCATCATAGGACATCTGTGTAAATGTTCAAGTTTGTGGAAAGGATCCTCTGAGAGAGATACAATGAAACTTAGTGATCTTTCTTACCAAAAGAACGAGTCCCAAGCTACATATTAAAGGGCAAAAGATCTCTCCTACAACAGGCACCAAGGGAAAGATGCTAGGGGAAGAAATAAGGGAAGACAACTGTTGTCACATAAATTCCTTTCTTTAATAATTTATGGCTCCTATATTCCTTTGTAGTCAGTATCAGTGAGTATGTCACATTCTGTTCATATACTCATTTTTTTTAGGAGTCATCAGGGTGGTAGCATATGACCCCTCTATCTTGTGGAGCAGGTTGAGGTGAAGTCCTTTTTATGCATTGCTGCAGGTGACACAGTATTGCGCAGTGTCCTCTGTTGGTCTCAGCACCCCTGAACTATTTCTCATGCACAAAAGGATACTGGTGTTTTACATGTTTACCAATATATTTCATTCTTGTATATGTACTTTTCCTTTTTATTAAAAGAAATTGTTACTTAAGTCATCTTAGAAGTAATTGAAATAAAATCTTAATAAATAATAATGTAAATTTTATATTTTTCTGAGCATTAACAGATTTAAATGTTTACCATATAATTTATTGTCTAAGTTGAGGATTTTGTCAACTCCATGAAGAGGATCCGTTTTTTTTTTTTTTTTTTTTTTTTTAATTGCTGAGGAAACTCAAGTATATGGAAACTTAAATATAAAAAAAAAACTGACTTGCCCCAATGACAACAAAATTAATAATAGAATTGTTAGTGCCAAATTCTTACTTCATTTACTTTGATTGCACTGTTGAATAAGACCAGGTTAGTATAAAAAGGGCACTGGTTTTCACTTCTAAATGCAGAGATAAAAATTGATAAACTTATTGTTAATAGCATCCGTTCAATTTTATTTCTAAATGATGATCCCATCATTTAGATTTCTGACTCCACTTCTCCCCCTCCTCATTTAGCTCTGATTCTGTTATCACAAATGTTACTCACAGCCAACTAGCCAAATTAAAAGTACTGCTTGATTAAGGATCTCTTTTGTCAATAATTTGTGCCTAATGTTTTTAGCTTTCCCATGGGCTGTTGTAGAAAATGGTAAATCTGGTTTAAATGAAACCTGATCCTGTTAATGGTTTAATAGCAGCTGCCATAGGGTTATGGTATTTTTCAACAGATGCCTCTGTTTCATTTTGTTTCTAAACTAAGTCTTGAGATATTTACATAAATTGTATAAAATATTATCTACACACTTTTGGCTAAATATATTGTAAAACAGTCTTAGACTAGACCCTGTCTTTGTCCATTTAAATTACTCACATAAAACTAAAAAAAAAAATACATCTTAAGTGTATAATCTATTTTTTGAAATAAAAAATTATTTATGTTTTGCAATTCCCTGATTTTTTTTTTTTTAAAAAGACCTAAGAAAAGGCTCAATCTCTACATCTGGGAATTTGCACAGTGGCTTGGGCAATCTGATCATTTCATTCGTTTTTATATCTGGTGTTATTTACGAAGCACTGAAAAATTGCTCATATAGTGATATGTATTACAGTGTCAACTAAAATAAATGGACTAGTCACAAAATTAAATGAGACTCCATTTTTGTTTTCAATTTCAACTGATGGACCTTGTAATAATAATTTGCATTGTCATGATGAGTAGGATTTGTTTTTCTGGAGTGTAAAAGTTTGTTCAACCACTTTTAAGAAAGCATTTATTCCCTGCAGAGCACGTGAGCTGTGTACCTGAATGATACAAAGATAAATGACAGTCATGCAAAATAATGGTTATGATGGAAGATAGAAATAGTAACGTAATTGTCTTAGTCTGTTTTCTGTGGTATAACACACTACTTGAGACATGGTAATTGAAAAAGAATAGAATTTTATGAGGCTCACAATTCTGGAGGCACTAAGAACATAGTGCTGGTTTCTGGTAAGGGTCTTCCTGATGGCATGATAACATCGCGGAGGGCATCATGTACTGACGGAGCCAGCATGCTAGCTCAGTTCTCTGTTCCTGTAAAGCCACTAATGCCATCCTAATGACCTCATCTAATCCTCATTATCTCCCAAAAGTACCACATCCAAATACCATATGAATTAGGGAATTAAGTGTCTAACACATGAACTTTTAGGGAACACATTCAAACCATACAATAATAGAGGGACCAGCTCAGGCAAATACCATGTTACTTAATATTACAAAGTTTATTTCTAAAGCTCATAAAATATAAAATCTTCTGGTAGGCAGGTCACACTTTCATGATTGCAAATTACCTGTGGCTGGAAGGGTTATTTATGTAAATGTATCCAGTGGGTGAATTTTTAAGGGTCAAAAACAGGAGTGCAGACTGACTTTTTACTGAATTCTAAATTGTCTGTAGGCCTTACTGAATGTAGAGTGTTTCTAAACATATAAGCATCCCAATCTTCTCTTGTCTTAATGTCTTTCCTAGGTACTACCCCAAAGGAAAGATGTGAAACCTGGCATAGCTTTCTTATTTGAACTCTTTCTCCTTCGTGGGAAACATGCCTGCCTTGGCCAGGCTGTGGGCTGGGCAATCTTTCCCCTGTGTGATAACAACTTGGATGTAGTGGAAGGAAAATTCAAGTGTCCCCTTCTCCGAGGACATTATGACCGGAAATCCAGAAGTTTTAGGAAAATTGAAGATTTGATTTGCCTGGACTTGGACCACTGGCTGTGCAATCTCTATTTTCAGGTTTGTGATATGATTGTGTAAATGGAAACATTTTTTTTTTAATTTTCCAAAGTTGCTTCTTTCTAGCCTTTATCTTGCTTTCATGCCATTGAACATTTTAATAAGTTTCATAAAATGGCGAAAGTAATTATCTCTTAATGCTGATTTCTGATAACATGAATTAAATTAATATGTAGAAATAAGAACTAAAATTCACAAGTTAATGAAAAAGTTAAAGATAATTTAATACAATCTTCTATGTTGTGAATGGACCAGAACCAGTACTCGAGCCCCCTGATTCTCAGCTCACAATCTTTAACTACCACTTCATCTCAAAATTATTGGTGTTTCCTGACCAAAAGTACTTAACCATGCTTCTGTTATGTGTTGGACACTGCCAGTTCTAGGATACAAAAGAGATAAGATGCAATCTTTGCCTTCTGAATGTCTGCCATCTATCTGATGAGACAGACACATGTCTATATAAGGTATGGAAATCAGTAGTAGCAGTAGTAGTAGTAGTAGTAGTAGTAGCAGTAGTTGTGTTAATTATAAAGAGAATTTATATTTGAGATTAAATCAAGAAATGAGGCTTGGAATTTCAAAATAAAAAGGTCATTATTTGTTAGCATTAAAATAGTTTAAGTCGATGAAAATCTACTTGCATTTGAAGATAATTCTCTTTTTCCCCCCTCTGACATGTTATTTTTAAAAAAAATTTGTGGAAGAAAAAGTGATATTATGATTTATCTGTAGAGCTTAGTTGGCTGTTCGTTGTTACAGATAGAAGTGCTTGTCTATTAACTTTCTAACTTTAATAGACAATGGTAAGATTCTCTCTCTGTATATTTCATGCGGGAGTGAGTGAGTCTTTATTAAGGGCATAGTGCATTATGAAAGGTATTTGATTTTCTGATAAGAAGGGCAGAATAAGTGGATATTTAGGTACTTCTTTTCCGTGAGAATGAAAGAGAAGTTCTTATCTGAAAGCTCCGTTTTTCTTTCATGTGAAATTCTAATATATGTGGATTTTTCTCAGTGTCCATTTTCTCAAATGAAAAAATTTCTGATCAAGTAAATGACAGAATTATTCAAAAGTGAATAGTTTAAAATTAGAAGGAGAAGAATAGGATAAAGCAGATGATGGAACAGGAAATTGGTTTTTGTAATTCAGGTTTGGAAGAGAATATGAAGGAAACAAGGAAATCCACTGAAATTCTGGTCACTTTCCTCCTGGGTCAGTTAGTGGAAGGAAATCATCCTGGTCCAAGAGGTGCACACGGAGCCAGGGTGTGTGGTTTAGCCAACACAAGTTGGCCTGAGTGTCATTAGGGACAGCATCCAGGCTACTAACCCTCGGCATTATGGAGAAGGCTGGTCATAATGGGCTGACTCTAGGTTAGCCCCTGCAGAATGTGTGTAAGGACCCAAGAGAGAAAATTCTGCAGGTGAGATAACCTATAACTCTTTCTCAGGAAACTTTTTCTGCGGTTGCTTATTTTTGTGTTTCATTTTTTATGTCAGGGATGGCTTCCCCCAAACACTTATTATCATTAAAATTTTAAACATACATAAAAGTTACAAATATTGCATATGCAGCACCCATTTATTCACTATTAGATTCTACAATCTTGTCATTTCCTCTTCAACTTAGAACATTATTCTTGGAGACAGTAAATACTGAATGAACATTTGCTAATTTCCTCCCAGTATAAATGATAGGCAAACAGTGTTGTTAAGAAGGAAATTTAAAAAGTATAAATTAAAAGAAACAATCCTAATAAACATATACAGGGCATGGCAATATCGGTAGCAATTATGTAAATTGGTTAATACAGAATTCACTCTTTGTAATGTAAACAAATGAGAGCTTATAAGTTCTGGAGAACTGAATTCATTATTGACTTTTCTGATTTATCAGATTGTCTCATTGTTGTAGAGAAGAAAATACCACGTTTACATTAGTTTTAATGATTTTGATAATAGTTTTTATCTCTTAAAAGGTCGTTAAACTTCCTTTGCTTTTGGATGATCAAAAAAATCATGAAAGCAATACTCAGCTTGGCACTGAATTTCCAATGCATTTATTGGTTAAAGGAGATAAAGGAAAATTAGGTGTACATGATACATCTGGCCCCTGGGAGAAAAAATCTGAGAAAAATATATGTGCATCTATGGATAATGGAACTCAATCTACCTTACACTCTTCTCAGGGTAGGTTGATTTGACTTTTTAGTAATCTATTACTAATATTTCAAGTGGTGTTATATTAAATAAAATTTAGTAAGAAGTGCATATTCTTTATTAAGATCTTATTTTCTATACCAAGCCACTTAAAAAGAATGTAACTGTTGACAAGAATATTAGCTTTCCTATTGCATTATCTATTGCACAAGGAAACATAAAATTGCTTCATTGAAACAGAAGTTTTTCTCCATGGATTTATTGCTCTTAGAATATTTCTGAACGTTTTTAATCAGGGGTGGGGGAGGTAACTGAACTTTTTTTTTTTTTGGAGCTCATTTCTAAATTTTAGTCTTTTTTTGTGTGTGCTCTTGAAAGTATTAACCAAAAACTAAATAGAAAAGATCAAATATTCTCAGGAAAAAGTTCTCAGGTAATATAGTTGATAAAACTTTGTTTTTAAAGACTGATTTTATCAAGTACTAAGTAAGCAAATAAAATTTTTAAAAGTATTCTAATTTTCAAAAGTTCCCATTTATAGAAAAGATATATTAAAGACTGTTATCTTTTGTACTAAAGAATTATTTGTTTTACCGAAAGATTCCAAGTTTCCTTAACAGGATGGATACTCTATCAGTAAGTAATAGTTTGAGTGGTGGGGGACTGGTGACCCACACAGGCAGTGATAGTGTTCATTAGGAGCACTGTGGTAACACTGGAGGTATCACCTGTGACAAGCCCTGTAGTAGCACTTTCATTGATTTACCTTAGAAATTATCAAATATTTTAATTATACTGTATGAAAAATAACACAACATACAATAGTACTTATTCCTCTGATTTGCCATTTCTTACTGTTTGGCCATATATGCTTTATATGTTTTATTTTAAAAAATTACATATTATGCATAAAGCCCTCATTTATTTTGTTACTCGGGATTGAACCCAGCTGTACTTTACCACTGAGCCACCTCCCAGCCCTTTTTGTTTTTTTATTTTGAGACAGGTCTTGCTAAGTTGCTTAGGGTCTTCTTCAAGTTGCTGAGGCTGGCCTTGAACTTGCTATCTTCCTGCCTCAGCCTCATTCCAAATTTCCTAGTAGGGAAGTTCTGTTGAGAACCTCATGGGCATTGTAGTTAAGTCTCATCGAATTGGCTCTGAAGCAGACTGATTTTACACAAGATCTCTGTTGACTCTAATTTGTCAGGCTTTCCCGAGTGAGGATCTGGGATACACTTGTTCTGTAAAAAATGTTAATAACATTTAGCATATCTTCTGCATGACCCGGGTACTGTGGTTTTGGTATATCCCAATGAATTCAGATGTTGAAAACTTTGTACCCAGTGCAGCAGTATTGGGAGGTGGGGACTTCAAGGCAAGAATGTTTGAAGGTGAAATGAACAGACTATGAGATCTGTAACCTCATCAGTCCATAGATTGAATGGACTGAGGGGTACCTGTACAGGTGGGCGTGGCTGGAGGAGGTGGGGCAGCAGGGGCATGCCCTGGCCCTGGAAGGGTGCATCTTCCCTGCAGCCTCTTCCTATCTGTGCTTCCTTGTTGCCAAGAATTGAGCAGTCCGCCCCCACCCCCCACTCCATCCCCCTTCTTCCAGGATATTGTCCACCTTCTGGGGCCCAGAGCGATGGAGTTGGCCATCTATGGACTAAGTCCTCAAAACTCTGAGTCCCAAATAAACTTTTCCTCCTCTGAGTTGTTCTTGTTGGTTATTTTGGTCACAGTGACACAAAAGCTGACTCAGGAATTCTGCTATAACAACAGAAAATGGAGGAAGACTCTTGGCCATCTAGAGATTTAGAACAAGAAGATGAAGTCTTTTTTGGATGGTTGAAGATCATTTTCCTAAGATAGGAAAAGCAAGAAATAAAAGCCCTGGTTAGGATTTTATTAGATACAGTGGATAGAAAGCATGGCATTGATTTTTACTTAAATATCAAGTTCAAAAGCCAACCGTAAAGCTGCTGCATGAGACACAGTAAAATGCATGCATTTGCAAAATAAATGTGTTTTTTTTTCAATGTTTGGGGGCTCCGTATGGAGCTCAAAAATTTATTTTAGAATTTTAATTTTGCAGAAGGTGAGTTCTGAGTTAATTAATAATATTGCATTGCTGCTGACATTTTAACCTAATTTTAGGGTACTAAGTAGATGATTAGAAACAATTGCTCTTAGAGAATTTTCTACCGGATCAGTTTTGCTTTCCAGTTTTCTCCAGGCCAATGTGGCTCTATTTCCCATGCCTACTGCACTGTGCCTTGGACTAGGCTTTCAGAGTTCTGCCCTGTTCTACAAGGAGGAGGACAGGTGGCACTTCAGAAAACTATACCATGAGAGGGAGCATCTTTGATGCATTAGAAAAATGCTTTAGAAAAAAACTGCTTATTCTTTTGCTCAGCTCTGAGCTTGGAGACTGATGTAAGCCTCACACTCAGAGACTGCAGAGGGACCTTCTGTTCCTGCTCCAAACAGATTTATACAAAAAACAGAACATGAAAATCTCTTTGAATACATGTCTTCACTATTGCTTGTATTTATTTATTTTTCTTGGAAGCTCCTAAGCATATTATTAGCAGTTAATATCCCCCATGGATTTGTTTTCTAATATATCAGGGCTGTGATACAGTATGCTGTTTCTTCCACTGATATGTTGCTAAGAGATTTAATAATGGGTAAACAAACACAACATGTGGTAATTCATTTCAAATTAAAAGTTTATTAAACTCTGGCTTGATGGCTTTCTGGCTATTTACAATTAAAGAAGCAAACCTTAGGGAAGGGGTGACCACGTGGTGTGTTCATGGCTGCAATGTTTTTATCTGAAAAATGTGTTTATGATCTTCCGCAAGCTGTCCTACGTTGATAGGCTCTGTATGTAATCTGTTGAATCTACTGCCGTCCTCAAATCATGCACAAGTGACTTTAATGTTCACTTTGGAGCCTGTGGTGTGCGAGCACATGCCGTCATACACCCCCAAGCACCCCCAAGAGGTTTCTGAGTTTAATCCCATGGTCGATCATCTAAAGGGTGATCAGTTTTGAAATTAGGTGGATGCCTAAGGCCAGAAAGAATTTATAAAAGGCCAAAAGAAAAGACCTAGGATATAACTTTTGGGTTATTAGCATCTTTTAGCTTGTTTTACTTTTTAGGAGACATGCCAGGGAAATATTTATTATACTTGATAATTATGTTTTACATATGGCTATGTTGAAAGGACAAGAGTCTCCAGCAAGGTCTATGTGTGGGTTGTGATGCAGAATTCAATTCAAGATGATTTCATTGTGCAACCAATGAACAAGTCATGCTGCTTAATGCTTTGGGATTATAAATCCAAACAGTATCCAGTCCCTGAACCCTAGGGTCTTATCGGAGCCCCATCCTGCTCTACTAGGAGATACACGTAAGTCCACAGGTTCAGTAGGTGATGGGCGGAGCTCCCAGCACTGAATTTTCATGAGGGACAAGTAAGCCTTCTGGGAAAAGTGAAGCAGATGCATCTGGCTAAGTGCCAAAGTTTTAGGTGACAAGTGAGAGAAGCAATTGTGAGAAATGTATGTATTGGTGATTCAGGTTGGTCCTCTAACCCAGTCATCTCATGGTGGGATTCCCAGAGAGGTCAACTGCGTGGTGACACTCTCCAACCTGCTAAAAGAGAGTCATTTCACTGAAATTCTGTATGACATGGAATTATATTGTGTAGATAGCATATACTATCCTGTGAGACATTCTGCTTTGTCTATACATACACATTATATATACACATACACACACATATATACATCTATCTATATATATCTGTGTATACACATATATCTATGTATGTGTGTGTGTATATATATATACATATATATATATATGTATATATATATATGGTTCCTTAATCCAAGGTGGTATAGAGGCCACATTGGAGCAGTATAAATGAATATAAATAAAAGTTTATGGGTTCATTAGAGACACGTGGGTGGGCTCCCATAAACAAATGGGTGAGCTTTGGGAGGACTTTGGGAAATCCGTTAGATTTTCTTTAATAATTTCACACCATTTAGAATCCTATATTGGTGTGATCTGGAAAAATATGTGTTAATTTCACAAGCTTGTCATACAGTTACACGAAAACCTTGGAGTTCAAAAGGTAAGTGCAGATAGAAACTCTCTGGGATTGAAGGAAAGCTATGATCTAAGAATATGGAAAGGCACAGGGTATGCTTCAGGAACTGTAAAGGCCACTGGTCTCCAGTTTACCTATTGGGACTGATTTGGGCAAGGAGCATTTTAAGACAAGAAATTCAACAAGGAGGTCATTGCATTATCCCCAAGAAGAGATGGTAAAGGCCCGAGGTAGAACAGGGCAGGAGGATGTGTTCAAGAGGCATCCTGAAGTTGAATTGGTGAGATCAGGAAAATGAACAGTTGTAGCATAACAAAAGACATGAAGGTCATAAGCAAGGGCATTTCTAGCTCAGAAAATAGTGTTGCCCTTATCAGAGATAAAAGAACCCAAAAGAGCAGGTTTTAGATAAAAGTTAAACAGTTGGTTTGGGGCAAACTAACTCTAAAGTGTTTGGGAAATTAAGAGGATAATGGTCGGCCTGAAGTTGAAAAAATTGATTTAAATCTTGGGATGGACACTTTGGTGCCATCTTGACAAGGGTTGGGGCTAAAGGCACAGTGATGAACGAGGTTATGAAGAAGAAAGGAGTGAACCAAATTATAGGAAAAAATTTTAAGGAACAGATGAAAGAGATGGATAAAGGAAATTGTGTAGAACAGTCTGGAAATCAGTGGGAATAGGAGGTGGGGCATCACAGAACACATGGTACATACTTCAGAAGAACACATTCTTAAGGGTGTTGATATTGGATAAGGAAAAGGTCTCCTTTTGACTAAATCTTCCTTATCAATGCTTATAATATAAATACCATCAGCTAAAAGAGGAAATAAAGAGCAGCTTTGGATGACAGATAATCCCTGATGTAACTATGATTTTTGACTTTGCAAGGGCATGAAACTG